CCGCCTTGTGATCATCAGCGCTTCTGCACTCAGCTGGGACCTGTCCCAGTCTTGCCTCACTTGCTCACCTCTTGACCTTACTTGTACTCTTGCATATATATATATATATACCTACTCTTGCTTGTTGAGACTTATATATGTATATGTCTCCTCCTGCATGTGAACTGGCCTTGTGGCCTTGACCTTGTGCTCAGACTGTGTGGTGACGTTGTGATCCACCCTGAGCTTGCTTTGCTTTGCTTTGCTTGACTGGTCTTGTGACCCCTTGTTCTCCCCCACTTTGCCTATGGGGGTGTGTCAGAACATTATAGCTTATGCTTTTGTGTAGGCTATAGTGGGGTATCCCATAGGGGGTACAACCCAATTAGGGTTAGTACTTGTTCCCACTTCATTCATAGTTCATTCATCCACGTTCACTTCTTCACAGCCGACTTGTCGTCCGCAGCGCTTGAAGTCCAGAGAGCCACGACCCTCTGTGGCCGTGTAGTCCAGGGCTCTGCGCCTGGTAGCCACAGTGTGAGCATTCCTAGTAGTCCAGAGAGCCACGACCCCCTGTGGCCGTGTAGTCCGGGGCTCTGCGCCCGGTAGCCACAGTGTGAGCACTCGTGGGAGCACAGAGAGCTAGCTGCGCCTGTCGCGGTGTAGTCCGGGGCTCTGCGTCTGGTAGCATCAGTGCTGCGCACTCCTGCTGCACGTGTGTCTGCAGCTTCAGCCGTCGCCTCCCATCTTCTCGCCCCCCACAGTTTCTCCTCCTCCTCACTTGCCCTCTGTGATAGCCTCTAGCTTTGCTTATCCTTGTGAACTATTCCTCTGCCTGCTTGTTGTGCTGATTATACCCCACTTTGACTATGGGGGTGTGTTAGAATGTGATGTTTGTCTAGCCTGCAGTGGGATACTCTATAGCGAGTACAACCCAATTAGGGTTTCCCAAATTTATCTCAACTGCTGCTAGTGAAAACCCCCTTTCCTGTTTCTGATTCTTGCCTAGTATTTCAACACGAGTGTCGCGAGTGGTAACGGATTACTGTTCGGTGCTGTTGGCGGGAACAGTGGTGTACGCGCTGAACAGGGTCGCGAAGTAAGGAAAAAAAAAATTCCTTACAGTTTCCTACTTGTACCACCTTTCTCATGGTTCAATCATTCCTCTTTCCATATTTTGATATGGTATTAGAGTAGGTACGTTCCTTAGGGCCCACCGAACGTTTCGCCCTGCCCGGACATGAAACCTTTTTTTTCCCGCCCTGCAGCCTAGCGCCAGCACGCGCCTTCGTGCCCTGCCTGCGCGCGCTCTGCTTGCCCGCGCGCTCTGCACGCGCACCCTGCTGCCCACAGCGCCAGCGCGCCCTGCTGCCCAGCACGCTAGCGCGCCCCGCTGCCCGACGCGCCAACGCGCCCCGCTGCCCGACGCGCCAGCGCGCCCTGCTGCCCAGCGCCCCAGTGCGCCCCGCTGCCAAACGCGCCAGCGCGCCCCGTTGCCCAGCGCGCCCCACTGCCCAACGCGCCATAGCGCCCCACTGCTCGACGCGCAAGCGCGCCCCGCTGCCAAGCGCCCCCCGCTGCCCAGCGCGCCAGTGTCAAATTCCATTTGTATGCTTCTAGTTTGTAGTGGGGCATACTCTAGTGAGAACAACCCTTTAGGGTTTCATACTTGTACTCATCCTGCTGCTCAATGCAATCATTCTTGCCTGCTTATTTTTACATGGTATTACAGCAGAATCGTTCCTAGGGCCCACCGAGCGTTCCGCCCTGCCCTAACCGTAAATTTTTCTTCCTACGCTGCCCCTGCAGCCGCGCTGCCCTTGTAGTCTGTGTGCTGCCCCTGCAATCGTGCTGCCCCTGCAGCCGTACTCACCCCTTCGACCGTGCTGCCCCTGCAACCGTGCTCACCCCTGTGACTGTGCTGCCCCTGCAGCCGTGCTCGCCCCTGCAACCGTGCTGCCCCTGCAGCCGTGCTCGCCCCTGCGACCGTGCTGCCCCTGCAGCTGTGCTCGCCCCTGCGACCGTGCTGCCCCTGCAACCGTGCTCACCTCTGCGACTGTGCTGCCCCTGCAGCCGTGCTCGCCCTTGCGACCGTGCTGCCCCTGCAGCCGTGCTCGCCCTTGCGACCGTGCTGCCCCTATAGCCGTGCTTGCCCCTGCGACCGTGCTGCCCCTGCAGCTGTGCTCACCCCTGCAACCGTACTGCCCCTGCAGTCGTGCTCGCCCCTGCGACCGTGCTGCCCCTGCAGCCGTGCTCGGCCCTGCGACCGTGCTGCCCCTGCAGCCATGCCTGCCCCTGTGACCCACGCGCTGCCCCTGCAGCGCGTGCGTCGCCCCTGCAGCCAGCGCGCCGCCCTGCCGAGCCGCGCGTCGCCCCTGCAGCCCGTTCGCGCTGCCCCTGCAGCCCGCGCACCGCCCTGCCGAGCCGCGCGTTGCCTCTGCAGCCCGTGCGCACGGCCCTTGCAGCCCGCGCGCCGCTTCTGCAGCCCGTTCGTGCTGCCCCTGCAGCCTGTGCGCCGCCTCTGCAGCCCGCGCGACGCCCTGCCGAGCTGCGCGTCGCCCCTGCAGCCCATGCGAGCTGCCCCTGCAGCCCGCGCGTCGACCCTGCAGCCCGCGCACCGCCTCTGCAGCCCGTGCGTGCTGCCCCTACAGCCCGCGCCCCGCCCTGCCGAGCCACGCCGCCCAAGCCGAGACGAGCCGCCCTACCCAACCCGAGCCGCCCTGCTACTACTACTGCTACTGCTCGTTCTACTGCTGCTACTGGATGAGTTAGTGGAGGTGCGGCCGCCCAGCCCCACCGAACCGCCCTGCTGCTGCTACTACTGCTGCTGCTGCTGCTGCTACTTGTGCTACTGCTGGTGGAGGTGCTGCTGGGAGTGCTGGAGGTGCTGCTGGTGCTGTAGGAGCTGGAGGTGCTGGACCTACTCCTGACCGTCACTGTCTGTCATGGCCACTATCGCGGCAGTTGCTGCGACCAGGGGTGGACAGCAGCGGGCACTGCCTCTCCTGGATGACCCCACCCCTCAGCAGCTTCGTGAGTGGGTTTTCAGCGAGGCAGTCCTGGTGGTGGAGGTTTTGGTTTTATATGGCCTAAGCGACCTCGCGACTGTGCTTCTCAGCGATGCGTCCCTGGCTGTGTAGAGGTTACTGCTCTCGAATCTAGTGAGTCTGCTGCCGCTCTAGGTGCTAGTGAGTCTGCTGCCGCTCTAGGTGCTAGTGAGTCTGCTACAGCTCTAGGTGCCCGTGAGTCTGCCGGCGCTCTAGGTGCTAGTGCGTCTCCTACCACAGGTCATGCCTGAGCTGAGGTCTTGCACCCTTTCACGCTTGACTCAGGCGCGTCAGGTTGCTTCTTTCGTGATTGCACCACAGTCACACAACTCACAACACCTGTCCCAGTCTCACTAGCTGACCCCTCTGGGGGCCCAATGGTTGCGAGAGCCTCCACGGTCCTCCCTTGTCCAGCAGTCCCCTCCGGTTCTTTGTCAGGTCTCCACCTCCCCACGTTCTCGACGAACTTGGTGAGCAACGCTACCATTCAGGATGTCTGGGCTGATACCTTTATTCCTGGAGGGCAGTGTGTGGCGATCTGTACGTGCTCCTGGACTGGCCGTCACCTAGCTACGTTCACTCGACAGCCTGGGTATAGTCCGTACACACTGACCACTACGTCTGCACAGGTGGCAGCGTCGAGTTGGGCGTCTGCGTCGGGGAAGTTAGTTGCGTCTTTCGTGTGTAGAGTACTCACGCACGAGACTCAGCGCTGGCACCACCGTCTTGGTCACCCCTCCCTGCTGCGTCTACGTAGCATGCACTCCCGTCTCCTTGTCTGTGGCCTCCCCAGGACCCTGCCCCCCCTGCCGCGCTCGCTTGCCCCGCCATGCCTTCCTGGAGTCGGCGGGCGGCAGTGCGCCGCTCCTCACTCCTCCGAGTTTCCTCCGACCACTGCTCCTTTGCAGACTCTCCACATGGATGTGTGGGGCCCAGCCCCCATCAGTGGAACGGACCGCGAGCACTAACTTCCTACTGGTTGTTGACGACTACACACGCTACACCACTGTCTTCCCCTTGCGGCGCAAGGCGGACGTCAGCGGTGTCCTAATCCCCTGGATCCGTGCTACTTGTCTCCAGCTGCACGAGCGGTTTGAACAGGACTTCCCAGTCCTGCGTTTGCACTCTGACAGGGGCGGTGAGTTCTCCTCAGACCTCCTTGCGGGGTTCTGTCAAGACGAGGGCATCCGCCAGACGTTCACGCTTCCGGCCTCTCCTCGGCAGAATGGGATTGCTGAGCATCGCATTGGCTTGATCATGGAGGTTGCTCGCACCTCCATGATCCATGCGGCTGCTCCCCATTTTCTGTGGCCGTTTGCGGTCCGATACGCTGCGCATCAGCTCAACCTCTGGCCCCGTGTCTCTGTGCCAGAGACCTCGCCCACCCTCCGGTGGACGGGGAAGCCTGGTGATGCGTCAGTGTTTCGGGTCTGGGGTGCACTCTCCCTTGTTCGCGATGCCAAAGCGAGCAAGCTCTCCTCTCGCACTCTCCACTGCGTTTTCCTTGGCTTCCCCTCTAACGCCCCGCCATGGCAGTTCTACCGCCCGCGCTCGCGTCGAGCCTTCTCCTCCCAAGACGTCACCTTTGACGAGTCTGTCTGTTACTACCAGTTACACCCGCACGCGTCCCACCCGGTTCCCCTAGCACCCCTCTTCCTGGTACCAGTCCCCCCCCCGGTAGACCCCCTCCCCCCATAGGGTCCTGCACCCTCAGGTGTGTCTCAGGTCGACCCACCCCCCTTGGATGAGCCTGTGGAGATCTCTTCTAACTCCTCTGGCCCAGCTGAGGGGGGTGACCCAGTTGCGGACGGCACGGCGGCCACTCGCCGCTCTCCACACTTGGAGACCCCCCCGGGTTTTCCGCCTCGACCGTCTTCGCCGCCTCCGCAGCATGCTGCTGTGGACTCTGGAGCTGAGACTACAGGTGCAGAGACTGGGGGTGCTGAGACAGAGGGTGAGGGTTCTGGAGGTGCTATGCCTGGGGGTGCGGTTCTGGGGGTGCTGCGACTGGGGGTGCTGGTTCTGGGGGTGCTGCGCCTGGGGGTGCTGACTCTGGGGGTGCTGCGAGTCCTCGTGACGGTGGAGTTGTGGGTGACCCTGTTGGAGGTCCTGGCGTTGGAGGTACTAGAGGTACTTCTGGTGCTGGAGGTGCTAGAGCTACCTCTACTGGAGGTGCTGGAGCTGGATACCCACCGCAGCCTAATCTACTCGAGGCGCTCTCGCCGCAGGCGATTCGTGCGTGGGTCGTTCGGCGAGGCAGTTCTGGTGGTGGAGGGTACGGTCCTGCTGGTGCCTGAGCTACTAGTCATGGAGATGCTACTAGTGCTGGAGGTCTTAGAGGAGCTGCTGATGCTGGAGCTACTAGTCCTGGAGGTGCTACTGGTGCTGGAGGTACTGGAGCTGAGGTACTGCTGGAGGTACTAGAGGTACCACTGGTGCTGGAGGTACTGGAGCTGCTAGGCCTGGAGGTACTGGAGGTGCTACTGGTGCTGGAGGTGCTGCTGGTGCTAGAGGTATTGGAGGTGCTGCTGGTGCTGGAGGTACTGGAGCTAGAGGTACTGGAGCTGCTGGTGCTGGAGGTACTGCTGGTACTGGAGGTGCTGGGGGTCCTGGAGCTGCTGGCACTGGAGGTGCTAGTACTATTGGTGCTAGAGCTGCGGGAGTTGCTGGTCCTGGAGGTGCTCGTACTAGAGGTACTGGAGCTGCCGGAGCTGGTGGTGTTGCTCGTGCTGCAGGTGCTACTGGAGCTGCTGACCCTGGAGGTGCTGGTGCTGCTCGTGCTAGAGGCGCTGGAGCTGGAGGTGCTGGAGCTGCTGGTCCTGGAGGTGCTCGTACTAGAGGTGCTGGAGCTGTCAGAGCAGGTGGTACTGCTGGTGCTGGAGGTGCTGGAGGTGCTGGAGGTGCTACTGGAGCTACTGGCACTGGAGGTGCTGGAGGTACTGCTGGTGCTGGAGGCACTGTAGCTAGTGCTGGAGGCACTGGAGCTGGAGCTGGAGGTACTGGAGGTGCTGGAGGTGCTGGTCCTGGAGTTACTCGTACTGGAGGTGCTGGAGGTTCTACTGAAGCTGCTGGCATTGGAGGTGCTGGAGGTACTGCTGGTGCTAGAGGTGCTGTCGCTGCAGGAGCTAGTGGTGCTGGAGGTGCGGGTGCTACTGGTGCTGGAGGTGCAGCTGGGAGTACTGGTGGAGCTGCTTGTGCTGGAGGTACGGGGGTTGCTGGTGCTCTTCGCCACCTTCTCAGTCTTCCGCCAGGTGCTACTGACTTCCCTGTGGCAGGTACTACTCCTCCGTTACTGTTTCCACCGACAGACCAGTCTCAGCCGCCGCTGCTACCGCAATCCCCACTTCCTGCTCCTGCTCCTTACACTACGGTGACACAGTCCCGGTCTGAGCGTCGAGAGCCTGAGACTCGTGCTTCCACCCCTGAGCGTCGAGAGCCTGCGTCTAGCTTTGACCTTGAGCCCGAGCCTAGAGCCGCTGTCCGTACTCGTGTTCCTCGTGCTCATCGCCAGCGTGCTCCAGCTGTCCCAGGCACTCATGATATGACACTCCGTCCTTCCTCTGTTCCACAGCGTGTTGTCATGACGTTACCTCCTGCGTCCTCTCTTCCTGACATTGCTGACCCTCCGTCTGACCTTGCTCGTGCTTCCAGTCCGACTGTTACTCGCTTTCTTGCTACGGTGGTGACTGACCCTTTGTTCTCGTATCCTGCTGCGTCTGCCTTAGTCGCTGAGCTCATGGACTTTGCTGCTGTGTACCGCCTAAACTACCTTGCGAGTCTTGTTTCTGACCCTATCCCTGCCTGTCCTCCGTTCATCGGGGGTGAGACTGCCCATGGTTGTGACATTCTTGAGGACAGGCAGGAGGAGTTGGAGTGCCTTGCGGCTGCTGCACCCCTTCTCGCGACCATGCTACTTGCCCCTGAGGGAGACCTGGATGCACTTGACATCCCCACCCTACGCTCTTACAGAGAGGCGATTTCGGGTGAGTACTTCTCTTAGTGGCAGACAGCCATGGACGCAGAGATGACTTCCTGGAAGTCCACAGGCACCTACGTCGACGAGGTTCCCCCACCTGGGGCGAACGTTGTCAGTGGCATGTGGATTTTCAGAGTGGAGCGGCCGCCGGGTTCTCCGCCTGCCTTCAAGCTACGATACGTTGCTGGAGGCTTCAGTCAGCGTGCGCGGGTCGACTTCTTTCAGACCTTCTCCCCTACCCCGAAGATGACCACTCTTCGGGTGTTGCTACACGTTGCAGCACAGCGCGACTACAAACTGCACTCCCTAGAATTCTCGACAGCTTTCTTGCAGGGTAGCCTTCACGAGGCCATCTGGTTGCGCCGTCCAAAGGGCTTCACTGGGTCGTTTCCTGAGGGTACCAAGTGGAGCCTACGGCAACCAGTGTACGGCCTGCATCTGGCGCCCCGCGAGTGGCACGACACACTGAGGACGACACTTGCGGCTCTTGGGTTTGTTCCTTCGACTGCTGACCCGTCGCTGTTTCTACGCACCGACACTACTCTGCCGGCGTTCTACATCCTCGTGTACGTCGATGTGAGGATCTAGGATCGAGCTCAGAAAAGAGAATTGTAATTGAATTGAATGCTCACCTGGGTACAACACGAGGCTATATATAGGCTTGACACAAGGCCCATTAACCAGGTGTTACGCGAAGGTTCCGCGGGTCGCGAAGCGTCCCGAACAGATCCTTCCGAATTCGGTAGAAGGCAATTCGGTGGCAACCGAAAAGGCCAGAATTCGGTGTACGCAACCTAGCTCGGCGCTATAACTATAATAAAATATAGGAAAGCACCTAGCCTAGGAAATCAAGCAATTCATGCATGCATATAATTATCCTATGCTAGAAATAGCACGATAAAGTAAAGGCAAGCAAGCATAGCTGGCATAAGCCGCTGTACTCTCACACGTCCCCCCCTCAAAGCTGGGTGGCGTGAGATACACCCTGCTTGACAAGATAGTCCTTGAGAGCACGGCATGCGTTGCCCATATCAGCTTCTGCAACCCAACTGTCCTCAGTGGGGTCGTATCCCTTCCTGCGTATTAGGAAATCGAGGGTCTTGCCGCTGCGGCACTAATGACTGAGAACGCGCTCCACTTCGTACTCGGGTTCATCCTGTATGAGAACAGGTGGTGGTGGTGTTGTGCCAAAGTACTACAGTGGCACGGTCATCGCACTCCCATTCAGCCTACAAGCCTGCTCAGCTTCTGGAATTTTGTGGGGTGGTGCTTGAACATGTGTTCTTCATACCCTCAAAGTTTCAGAATCATTGAAGCAGTTTACAAGGCATGGCAACATTTTTAGTTTCAAGATTTATGGCATCCCGGAAGTGTGTGTTACTCTTTTTTGGTAACACCCGAGTTCACCATTTCGGCTGCTGACTCATCTACCGAGCTTTGATTGGTCTGAAAATTAGTGTGGCAGTCCGTTGCTCTGTTTTTCAGGTGTTCACCGAGTTTCAGGACAACCCAGCATCGGAGCAGCACGTGACAGCTGTCGAAAGTTACTGTTCCGTAGTCATGGTGCACTGTTGGCAGCATTTCCCTTGCCACCCTTTCATTGTTGTCATGCCAATGGTGCAGGGACAGGGAATGAGACAAGAAGTACAGGTGGTCAAGTGGGACTCTACCACCCTCCTTTTGAGAAGTGTGGTCTTCCTGGAAGCAGCTTGCAAGAGGGTGCAAGTGGGAAGACAAGCTGACTCATGGTTGGCTTGACTCACTATTGGTAGCCTTGAGTACAGCTCTGAACATCCAAGTGTGGTTGGCTTTGCTGACCTAGCTAGGACGTTTCCCATCCTTCTCTAGCCTTTCTCCCCTAGGACTCAACCTTCTCTGAGTTCCCAGGATGGTCCCAACCCCTTAAGAGTCCCCTAGGCAATGTTGCACTCAACCTCTTCCTTGCATCAATGAAACTACTCGTTTTTCAGCCGAGCTTACGTTTTTGTTCACTGCGTAGCGCATACATCTCTGATGAAAGCAAGCTGTATACCGTTCGAAAGCAGACACTTGAAGCTAACGTCTGTCCAAGTTTCAGCTTCGTTTGATATCGGAGCTGATCGTGACGACGTTTTGAACAGAGGCGGTTTGAAGTCGTCAGATTCTGCTGAGGTGGTTTCAAGGGCATCTACGACCCCTAAGTGGACTCTAGACTATAACAAGTGGTATCAGAGCGGTTCTTCTCTGTTCCTGGGTCAACATGGAGGCTGAAGGTTCTGCTCCAGCTGGTCCTAGTGGCAGTGGTGGCGTGAGAGGCGCTGGGGAAGCAGGAAGAGGCGTTGCAGGCGGATCTTCACCAATAGCATCCGTTTCAACACCTGCCAAGGATGATGTGAAGGCATTCAACCTAGAGAAGTTCTCTGGGGAGGATTGGGCATCATGGAGCTTCAGGATGGAGCTCCTATTTAACCATTATGGGCTGCTTGAAGTGATGGATGGAGAATTGAAGAGGCCTGCGAGCGAAGGAGCGACCAAGGAATGGGATCGCCGATCCAAGGATGGATTCTTCCTTCTCTCTCAATGCCTCTCATCCAACCAGCTGCACCACATCAAGCATCTCATCAAGGATATCCAGTGTGGTCCCAAGGCATGGAAAATATTGAAGGATGTCCATGCCCCCAGCAGCGAAGCGATGGTGGTGGTGCTCGAACGACAACTCCATGCGGTGAAGATCAACGAGGGTGATGCCGTGCAAGGAGCGTTCGATCAACTCCGGGACCTCTATGTGAAGCTCTCTGCTGCTGGTGTGGACTACCCTGAAAAGATCAAGTGCTACAAGGCTCTCTCCCTGCTGCCGGAGTCGTGGGGCCCCTTGGTGGTCAACCTCAATGGCATGAAGGACTCATGGTCCCTTGAGTGGATTCGTGCTCAAGTCCTTCAAGAGGAGTTTCGGAGGAAGGAGCTGACTGCCGCTGCCGGTGAAGGTGGAGGCTCTGCCTATGGCATGAAAGGCCTCAAGGGACGTGGCAGCAAGAAAGGCAAGGCCAAGGAAGGCTCTGGAGGGGAGCAGTATTCGGGAGGGAAACGTAGCAACAAGGGAGGCAAGCGGTGTGGCGGCAAGTGTTGGTATTGCCATGTGGAAGGTCACCCATGGTTTAAGTGTCGCAAGCTACCTGATGGTTGGAGGCCTGGTCAGCCATCAATTGAAGGCTCTAAGGGTGTTCATGGAGCTATGGGAGAAGGCATGGGCAGTGAGGAGGGCGATGGAGGTGCCGGCGGACATGGCGGCATGTTCTACCATGTAGGAGAGGCATGCTCCGAGGATATGGTTGTACCGGCCAGCAAGGTTTCTCTTCACCGTTCCTCCCATTGGGTCATCGACACGGGAGCCTTCATGACCATGACCAACCGAGAGGATCTTCTGGATGAAGTCAGGCCATCAAAGGCAGCCACCGTTGTTTCAGCCACCGGCCAAGTTGTACCCGTGCGTGGCGAGGGGAGAGCCATGTTTATGGGTGCGGATGGGAGGCTTGTGGGGCTGAAGCGTGTTCTCCTTGTCCCTGGACTATGTGCCAACCTTCTCTCTACCAAGGCATTGAGTGAGGCAGGGATGAAGATGGAGATGATGGGCACAAAGGTGTTCAAGGCAACTCTGGATGGGCGCGTGTTGTGGGACCTCCGAGGCGGCAAGGACATGCACCGGTCCATGTGGGAGATACCGGTGCTGCCATGGAAGGAGGCGGCTGCGCGCTTGGCTGCTGAAGCTGTAAGAGAAGGGCATGCAAGCCACGTAACCAGTGGAGGAGGTGGTGATGGCAGTGATGGTGGGCTGCTTGTGCATGGGGTGGGTGCACTACCAAGTTTAACTCCTGATACGGGTGAGACGGATTGGCTCACCGCACACCGTCGCTTTGGCCACGTGGCGCTACCTCAGTTACAGCAGCTGTTTAAGGAGGAAAGAGTCAAGGGGCTGAGGATAAAGGGGGAGCCCAAGGAGGTGGGCTCTTGTGAGACTTGCTTGACCAGCAAGTTCTCACGATTTCCCTTCCATTCGACGGTGGGGCAGTCAAGTGACCCGGTGGAGCTCGTGCACGTGGATCTTGTGGGGCCCATGAAGGTGAAGGGAGATGGTGGGGCCCTGTATTCCATGACTATGGTGGATGATTATACAAGGCTCACCTGGTGTTTTCCACTTGCAAAGAAGAGTGATGCTGCAAGGGTCATCATTGAAGAGTGGCTGCCCATGGTGGAGCGAGAGAGCGGCAAGCGGGTGAAGGCAATTCGTAGCGACCGTGGTGGGGAGTTTTTGGGAGCGGAGTTCCGGAGCTGGTTGAAGCGGCATGGCATCAAGCAGCAGCTCACCACGGCCTACACCCCTCAGTCCAACGGCGTGGCAGAGAGAGCAAACCGGACCATTATAGAGGGCGGGAGAACGATATTGGTGGACTCGGGTCTACCCTTGCGGTTCTGGCCCCTCGCTATTCGTCATGCTACCGTCATCAAGAACCGGGTGTTGACTCATGTGGGAGGTCAGCATTGGGTCCCTATGGAGAAGTGGAGTGGCAAGAAGCCCCTGGTTGATATGCTTCGTGTCTTCGGGTGCATGGGGCTCGTGCATGTCCCTAAGGAGAAGCATGACAAGCTTCAAGCGGCGGCGGTGTGGGCTGTTCATTTGGGTCTTGCACGGGGGAGCAAGGGCTGGCTCATGTGGGACCCAAAATCCAACACCATCTTCACCACCAGAGATGCCAAGTTCATGGAGGGGCTCATGTTCAAGGAGTGGTCGGAGCGGGGGAGGAGCAAGGTCACCATTCCGCTTGGAATAGAGGTGGGAACCAACGACCCACTTCTCATTCCCATCGAGTTGTCCTCATCTTCAGAGTTGACAGAGGTGTCACATGACTTGGGAGGTGCTGGAGGGGAGGCAGTAGATGTGGAAGAAGTACTACAGCAAGGGGAGGCCCCTACAGCTGAGAGAGGTGACACCGATGAGGAGGTGCAGCAGCCTACACCATCCCCTAAGCTTCCATCAAGGCGCACAACCC